TTTTGAATACCCCTAATTTAGTATGGTGCTGTTCCAAACCCTCATAAGGATCTCTGACTGTCAAACAACAGTTTGAGGCTCCAAAATTTTGCGAATTTCTCGTCGGGTAAGTTTGAAATTTGACAGAGGCGAACGCGTGTGAGTTGGTCTAGTATATTTCGTATATTGTCCGACTCTGTGAAGAAAGCTATTTCAGGCCTGACGAAGGTGCTAAGCACCGAAATATTGCAATATTTTGGAAAGCTTTCGATATTAAGTCTTTTGAAGCTTTTTGAAATAAAAATTTTGGAGCCTCAAACTGTTGTTTGACATTCAGAGATCCTTATGAGGCTTCGGGACAGCACCATACTAAATTAGGGGTATTCAAAACAGGCAGTCGATCCTCATCCCAACTGTTTTTTTTCTGTTGAACAAGAGATATGAATTTGTATGCGATATGTGTGATAATCTTCTGCTGTGATCATCTTCAACTAGCTATAACGCAGGAGGGGGGGGGATTCCCGAGTATTTAGGCCGCATAAGAGACCAATGCTCAACCAGCGCGATCAAGTTAATCTACTTTCTGCGGAACAACGAGCCACACACCACAACCTCCGGAACACTGCGCTATGGTCACTGACGTCCGAGTGTCAACGGACGTTAAGTAAATTTTGAGAGGAATTTGCGCCAGAAACGCGAGTTGAAATGCGTTTAGGTGTCCGAATGGAAAATATCAAACGAGGCACAGAAAAAATTTAAAAAAGCTGATTTAATAAGAAGTGAGTAGTTCATACACTGCAGCTCCATTTTCATCTCTCAATTTTCACGGCAAGCCAACCCTTCCATTGGTAATTTGTGAGTGCGTACTTGCTTTGAATACTGGGATTGAAAAGACCACATGATAATCGTCAGCGGTTGATGTAAGGTGTTCGACCGTAGTAAATTTTTAGCATCGCTGGAAACCAAATTTAGACAAAATCCGGTTTTTTCACTCATTATGTGTTTAATTATGTGTTTAAATAGAATTCCTCGTAGCGCAGTGCTATCTCGTGGGATTCACGTGGCTTGGCTCGAGCTGGGAACCACAGCTGAGGCTGCGTGTGACATCTCCGATTTGAAACTGAAAAACAGCCCACGATGTGG